TTACAATCATTTGTTAAAATTGTCTCCAATATTCATGTATGTTTGATTGTTTGTGTTGGTTCACATGTTTGGCACGCAGTTGATGAATGAATCTTTCCTCACTTGGCCTGCTTATACAATGTAATCTAATGGTTACTTTTACATAAATGACTTAACAGCAGGTTGGGTGTCACTATGGGAGGCGGTTTTAGAGTGTTACATCTGGTTAGACCATTTCTTGCATTTTTGCCAGAAGTCCAAAGCGCAGATAGGAAAGTTCCCTTCAGAGAGAAGGTCATATACACTGTGATCTCTCTTTTCATCTTCCTGGTGTGCAGTCAGCTTCCTCTGTATGGCATCCATTCCACAACTGGTGCAGACCCTTTTTACTGGATGCGTGTTATTCTGGCTTCCAACCGTGGGACTGTGATGGAGTTGGGTATCACTCCCATTGTGACTTCTGGACTTGTCATGCAGCTATTGGCTGGGTCAAAGATTATCGAAGTGGACAACAATGTTCGTGAGGATCGTGCACTATTGTGAGTTTGATAATATTTAAAATTTATTATTTCATATTTCATAATATATATATAATTGGAACTTGTGATATTTGTAGGAATGGTGCTCAGAAGTTGCTGGGAATCTTGATTGCGGTTGGTGAGGCTGTGGCTTATGTTCTATCAGGAATGTATGGCAGTGTTGGTCAACTTGGTGTTGGGAATGCTATTCTGATCATTGTTCAGCTATGTTTTGCTGGGATCATTGTCATATGTTTAGATGAACTTCTCCAGAAGGGATATGGCCTTGGTTCTGGAATTTCATTGTTCATAGCCACTAATATCTGGTAAGCTTAGCCTGTGTTGTTTTCTCAATTAAATTGTTGTTTGGGAGTAGAGTTTAGTTAGTTACTTAACATGGATGGGTGTTTTGGTAAAATGATGCAGTGAAAGCATCATCTGGAAAGCATTTAGCCCAACAACCATAAACAGTGGACGTGGTGCTGAATTTGAGGGTGCAGTTATTGCATTATTCCATCTTCTGATTACTCGGTCAGATAAAGTTCGGGCACTCCGGGAAGCTTTCTACCGACAAAATCTTCCAAATGTGACAAATCTATTGGCTACCGTTTTAATCTTCCTTATTGTCATCTACTTCCAAGGCTTCCGGGTAGTCTTGCCTGTGAGATCCAAGAATGCCCGTGGGCAACAAGGCTCTTACCCCATCAAGCTCTTTTACACTTCCAACATGCCAATCATTCTTCAATCCGCACTTGTTTCCAACCTTTATTTCATCTCTCAGGTATATAAATATAATTATATTTGAATGAGTTTCTTTATTTGTGTTGCTTATATTATTTGCTTGATTGGCAGTTGCTACACAGAAAATACAGTGGAAATTTCTTGGTTGATCTATTGGGAAAGTGGAAGGAGTCTGAATACTCTGGTCAGTCTGTTCCTGTTGGCGGCATTGCTTACTATGTCACTGCACCTTCAAGGTAAACTTGATATTATTTTATTATTAAGACTAAATTTTTTTTTTTATCCTTATTGCAATTTTTGAGTAAAGCACAAAAGCAATGGGACAATTTCAAGATTTGGACTGAAGCTGCAATTTTGTATAATTTACTGATTTGTTAGTTTTGAGTGGTTTGATTAATGTTGTGTTGATTGATGGATCAGTTTGGCGGATATGGCAGCAAACCCTTTCCATGCTCTTTTCTACTTGGTGTTCATGCTGACAGCTTGTGCACTATTCTCAAAAACTTGGATTGAAGTTTCCGGATCATCTGCTAGAGATGTGGCCAAGCAACTGAAGGTTGGTATTTCTTGCATGCATGATAACTAATAATATGTTTTAAAATAAAAACAGTCTTTGATTGTTGTGATAATATTAATATGAATTAATGAACAGGAGCAACAAATGGTGATGCCTGGGCATCGGGACTCGAACCTACAGAAGGAGCTGAACAGGTACATTCCAACAGCAGCAGCATTTGGAGGAATGTGCATCGGGGCGTTGACTGTTTTGGCAGATTTCATGGGAGCCATTGGTTCGGGCACTGGGATTTTGCTTGCTGTCACAATCATCTACCAATACTTTGAAACTTTTGAGAAGGAGAAAGCAAGTGAACTTGGTCTCTTTGGCTTTTAACTCTTCTTGTCTTTAGACAATTTTGTTTTTTTGTAGAAGAAGAATTTAACTTTACAATTTCAATCTTATTTCTTCTCACGTTATAGCTTTATTTTGTTTCATTTGTTTCTCACGTTATATATTTCTGTGCAGACCGGACTTTGACATTATAAAAATTAGAAAATTGTTCCAAATGTTTTTACAAAAAGTAAAAATATAAATAGCATACACAAAATCCAATAAATTGTCATCTTATGTTTAATAAATAAATTTAACTAGAGGGTTTATGGCATTGCTGGAGACAGTAGTGATGGTTTTCCTCCAGCAATGTTTTCTACTTGTTCGTACATGTTGGATGTCAGCTAAAGCAGAATTAAAACCAGTTTTCGAATTGTACTTTCAAGATACAATCTACTAATGAGGAAAACTTTTTAAAAATGAAGAGTGAGCCGAAAGTAAGAAAGTGCACTGTTATTTTTTGCATTTAGCCTTTTAAACCTGTTTTAAATGTATTTGTAATGTTTTTAGAGGCTTACATGCAAGAACTAACAATATAAGCTTATAAACTTATCAGCTATAGCTACTATATAGTATGCCCCCCATTTGTGCTCAAAAGTTACAATATATAACAAATGTGTGACACTGATAAGATCTAGTGCTGGCATTAACACTGGCGCTGGCGTTGGTGGTCATTGTTTATTGTTTGGCTCATCAGATCATAAGGTGTTACAGAAGGTGATAACTATCATACTAAACATCAACTAAATTTAAAGTGGCAAGATATCACAGAATGTTTTTAAAGATGAATAAGTTGTACAACCACCTTAACATCCAAAGGAGAAGCGGTCAATGTGATGAATATACTCTTTAAGAGCCTTTGCATTTGTTTCGTGAAGAAACGAGAAAGATGTTCAAATATAATGACTGCTGCAGGAGTACCTACAAAAAGAACAAACAAAAGGCTTAAGTGGATACACAACTTCTTCCGATGCTCGTGTCGGGTTAGATTTAAATGATGAACGAGCTCAATCTAGAAAAAACTGTCTGACCGATTGTTAGGGACAAAGTAAAGAGGAAAGGGAATGGGTCATCTTCGAATGCGATTTCAGCAGAGAAGCAGACGAAATACGGAAAATGACGGAGACACTTGATTGATACATCAAATTACGCAGAACGTTGGACGTTTTACAAAGAAAAATTTGCCAAAAAAGAAAAGGCGTGCAGGGAAAGAAAAGTAATGGAAGATATGCAATTCTTGATGCAAAATATTTACAATCTTTTGGGACATGCCCTTGAATTAGTTTTGAGGATGATGAAGAAAATAATGAAAAAAATATTTTCCCTAGATTGTTTCATGATTTTTTTAAATCTTAATTTTTTTTATTATGTATTTTTTTATTATATTTTCTAGGTTTTATTATGTAATTTTTGTTTTAAATTATGAAATATTTATATTTTTATTAATTTTTGTATTTATTAACCATTTTTAATAAATTCTATTCATCTTTTAATTAGTCTTTAAAATTAAATTAATTTTATTTTTAAAAAATAAAAATGAAAGGTGACCACTTTATGTGTTTTAAAGAATAAAAGAAGAGTGAATAGAAAATTGATTTTGACACTGTTAAAATAAAATGTAAAAAATGAGCACACCTTGTGGTCTTACTTAACTCCCAAACATTGCAAGAAAGGTTGTCAATATCACGATATTATATACAATCGTTTTTTGTTGTGTAAGATTGTGATTGCAAGATCAAATTGAATCGTAAGATCTTATTAAAAACATTTTAAAACATAAAGAAAACGCATGTTTATCCATCCGTAACCATTCAGATAACAATAAAAAGTTGAAACAATACAAAATACATATCTAATACATCATTCAACAATAAACAATTCAAAAGGGTGTTCTACTTAGTTAGTCTAAGAAGTTATTTTTGATTTAAAAAAAAAAAGAAAAAAGAAATAGTAACAATTTTATGATCCTACGGCTATCTTACCTTCGATCCTAATAAGATTAGGATTGATTTTCTTAAGTGGGATTGTAGTATCTCATGTTGTAAAAGCAAATGTTTCTATCTTATTTACCCTTCAAAAGAATAGGACAAATTACAACATAATATATTATATGATGATTTGTTTAAATCTCTCTCTAAATTAAGTTACGATAGTTTGCCATCATAAAGAAAATGAATGATTGCCAAATGAAATATAAGTTCTAGTTTTTATTAGTAATTACACGTGACACATCTTAGTTTCGGTAAGAGTACCTATATATATAATTGCATAATTTAACGAATTGTTAAATATTGTGTAATATCTCGTTGATATTTAACGTATTAAATACATGCCATAATAGGATGCAAAGTTGGCATTCAATATATTTAGAATTCAATGGTTTGAAAAGTATAATAGAAAAAAAAATACTATTTCTTTTTTAAGTTTTTCAAATATATATTTATTAAATTTTATAGAATTCAATGTATTATTGAAATAAAATGGTAAAATTGTATCAAATATGGAGTCTTGATATGCCTTTCGGTCTTGATAACACTCCAATATACAAATGTAAGATGACACCGTTCATAACCAACAAGAGATGCGACAGTTTTGTGCCATTTGTTGCAACATCCAAATTTAGTTCTACATTCAGACGCCTAATTAAAACCCCATAATCAAAGAGACTTTGAAGAGTTCAAAACTCACCAAAAAAGAAAAAGAAAAAGGAGAGAGAGAGAGAGAGAGAGAGAGAGAGAGAGAGAGAGAGAGAGAGAGAGAGAGAGAGAGAGAGAGAGAGAGAGAGAGAGAGAGAACAATAAACAAAAGAAAAATAGATACAAAGCAAAAACCGAGAAGCAAAAGGGTTACATTATAATGATTAATCTTTATGATTAATTGGGTTTAGGTATATGGGGTTGATCATCACGTTGTTGTTCACCTTCCCACGTCCAAACTATATCTTTCAAAGAAGGCTTCAACTCTTGGTTACAGAAGTTATTATACTCCAACGTGTCGCCGGACAATTTCTTCATCTCCACCACATGAAACGATGGCGCCACCTCAAATATCTCAGCATCTATGGCTAACTGCCCTTTCCTCCCTTCCTTACTCCCTTGCAACCTCACTGTCCCATCTACCGATTTTGAAACCCCAAAACTCTCCGTCTCCGCTACTTGTTCAAGTTTTGACACAATCGCTGATGCAGGCTCTTTTGTTGTAAAACGAGCCTCCTTTTTCTGACCTGAACCACCCTCTTCAAACAAACCAGAAAGATTGAACCCTTGAGATAGCGATATGATATCAAACGCGTTCATAGACGTCGGCTTCAAAGCCTCTTTTGAACATGAAGGTGAAAAGGAAGAAAATGAAGGTGATTGTGATAACAGTGGTTTTGGATCGTCGAGTTCCTTAAGGTTATTATAACTACCCTTTGGAGTATCCATGTATCTTATCGCATTTTCGTAATCAATAAAACTTTTTGATGCGCTTTCATTGGTGAATGATTTTGATGCCTCGATTTTCTTGAATCCCTTTCGAAACCAAGGGTTTTCCATGAGTTTAGCCAACGTAATCCTTGTGCTTGGATTTGGATCAAGAATTTTCGAAAGTAGTTTTTTTACCTCAGGAGCGAACCATTGTGGACATTTGAATTCCCCTTTGCTAATCTTTTTATACATTTCCATTAGATTGTTATCATGGAATGGGAGATAAGCAGCAAGCAGAACATACAAGATCACCCCACACGACCAAATATCTGCCTTTTGGCCATCATATCCTTTCTTGTTAATCACCTCTGGGGCAACATAAGCCGGCGTTCCACACGTTGTATGCAAGAGACCATCCTGTCTTCTTGACTCACACAATGCACTTAATCCAAAATCCGTGACTTTCAGGTTGCCGGATTCATCTAGGAGGAGGTTCTCAGGCTTGAGGTCACGGTGGTAGACACCACGGCTATGGCAAAAGTCCACCGCAGCCACCAGTTGTTGGAAATATTTCCTAGCGGCATCCTCCTTCAGCCTCCCTTTGGAAACCTTATTGAAAAGCTCGCCACCTCTAACATATTCCATGGCAAAATAAATCTTGCTTTTGCTAGCCATTACTTCATAAAGTTGGACCACATTTGGGTGTTTCACTAGCCTCATAACTGCGATCTCACGTTTAATTTGGTCAATCAATCCCACCTTCATAACCTGCTCTTTGTCTATCACCTTCACGGCGACGCTTTGATTGGTTTTCAGGTTTCTTGCATAATATACTTTTGCAAACGTCCCCTGGCCAAGCAACCTTCCTATCTCATATCGTTGCATCAAGATCGTCCCTTTTTTGGTATCCATCATAAATTCTTTTGGCCCTTTCGGATCTAAACAGAAACAGAAATGTAGATAGATAGATAGATATCAAGAACTAGAATGAATTCGCGATGGAAGGAGGGATTGGGTGTCAGAAATGGCAACCTTGCCTCAATTAGGCAAAGCTGCTGAAAACACAAACTTACGTCTTATGATGTACAAGGTTAAGAGATACAACCATGAAAGGAAAGCAAAATCGAATCTAATGTCTCATCACCTCATCAAAACAACAGGATATTTTGGTTAAAAATGGAAATTATTGATTGATTTGATGGCCATTAAAACTGTATATGAAACAAACGTTACTATATATACATGGCTAAATTTTCTAGTTTGATGTTAAAGGGAACCAGTCTTGGGTTTAGAGATTTGCGGAGTGAGGAGAAGACGAGGCGAGCAGCATGTGGTTCTGAATTAGGATTTTTTCCTTTAGTTGTGCACATTACTATTTGACTTTTTCTGTTATAAGCTATTCAGTTTTTAATTAATCAATAATATTAACTAAATTTATCTACCGTTGAATTAATTCGACATATATTATTACCCGTGACAATATAAGTTCATTTATGTTTTCTTCACATATGGTCATGTGGTTTAAACATCCATTTCTTCGTTTCTATTTCATCTTGAAACACTTATAGTTATATGGTTGTTAAAACTATGTATTAAGCTGGTATTAATTCTTTAAAAGTAAATTATAGTTTTGATAATATTCACATTTTCAGTTAAACTTTTAAAATTTTGGTAATATTCACATTGAGTTAAAATTTTAAAATTTTGACAAGATCGGTTTAAACAAGGTTTAAATAAATTAACTTACATCCTTAAGCATTTAAAAAGATCATTTTGCCATTCTTTTATCGCTTAATTTTTATTTTATTTATTTATATTTTTTATGAATTTTTTTTCATATCTTATTCAAATATATTTTTTTAATGTCTTTTATATTTTGTTCGTTACATTTTTTTAACCTTTTTTTTGAATAATTTTTCTAGTTTTTCATGTGTTGTTTGAATATATTCTTTTAATGTTTTGTTTTTTTGTTATTTTTATTTTTATTTTTTTTTTTTTTGTTTTTGTAAAGCTCTATATAAATAGTTTTTGTATAAAACATATAAAAAAGTTTGTTAAATGTGAATATAGTTACTACATATTAGTTATAAAATTATTTATTTTAAACAGGGTTATTTTATAGGTTAAACGAAATTCAAAACAAATGTAAATGACTTCGAATTCAATTTTTCTAGTTTTAAAAATATTTTTACATTTTGTTCCGAATGACAAATGTTAATTATATCTTATAACTCAAACACATGTATCAATATTTTCGAGTTCATTTTTTTATTTTTAGAAATTGTATTCGTTTTCGAGTGCTACAATTTCCAATTATCCATTAAATATCTTGAAACCCGTTTTCGAGTTTCGGTTAACCTATCTATTAATCTTCTTAAAAAAAAAATAATTTTATACCTAATTTACGTTAATAATATTAACATTTAATGAATTTTTTTTTATCTTTTTTTACAAAAAAATATTAAAAAAAACATAAACAAAGAAATCGTCAAAAAAAAATATATTCAAACAACACGTCAAAAAACAAGAAAAAATTATTCAAAAAAAAAAAAACATAAAAAAATATAAACGAACAAAATGTAAAAACCATTAAACAATATATTTGAAAAAAATATCAAATAAAATATAAATTATATATATATATATATATATATATATATATATATATATATATATATATATATATATATATATATATATATATATATATATAAAGGTAAAATGGTCTTTTTAAATGGACTAAGGATGTAAAGTTCAATTTCTTTAAACCATAGGATGCATCTTGTTAAATTTTCAAATGTTTGATTGAAAGTAAAAATCTGACCAAACCACAAGGACCAAAACTATAATTTACTTAGTCTTTAATATAAACTAGTGGAAGCCCTTCGCACCATTAACAAAGGTTTGAATGGGTTTCGATGACCTACTTAAAATATACCAACCTCTTAAAATACTTGTTGCCAAAAGAAAGTACAATGTTATTTCCATTTTATCTTTTTTATCAATATAAATGTTATCCAAATACAAAGTAATTGGAGACTGCTAAAATTGGATAGATCGAATATAGTATAATGTACTAAAAGAGAAATAAAAGTAGAATGCCTTAATAAGATAATAAAAACTAAAAGCACATTATTGTAGTAAAAAAATGAAAGTAGATATCCCTAATATGTTTATGTGGCTAAGTACAATTGCCAAATAATTAACATCAAACATCCATCCATTCTGATGGTGTATGATAGTCTAAAGGACATATTATGTGTTAATTGTAGGTATTAGAGTGTAGTTAACAAGAAATGGTGGAATACCTGATTTAATGCGATGTTGCTCAGATTTGCAACGTCGTGGTAAGGATATTCCTTAGTTATTGCCATCCTGGTATCACAAGGAAACATAAGTCGGTGCCATCTAGGGCTTGAATGGTTCTATTAGCCCGTTTCAAGACAAAACCTCTTATCAGAAACCGAATTTTGTTCCTTTTACTTGAAGGGATACAAAAGGGGTGATTTGTATGAATTATGGAGTTGAATACTGGTGGTGGCGTAATTAACAATCGGTAACAGCGATGGAGAGAAAATTTCATCCACTTCAGAGATGAAATTAGATGGTGGATGGTGGAACTTAGTCAGGGAACCGATTTAGGGTTCGTGTAACATCCTGACTCCCAGGTATTAATTTGAAGCTTTTATATTCACATTTTTAGACCTACTTGACGAGTTGGATGCCCCAACTCGTCGTGTAGAACCTGATCAGGCCTCGTGTTTTATGAAACCAACTCAACGAGTTGGAGGACCTCAACTCGACAAGTTGAGGTTGTGCATAAAAACCCTAATTTTTAGGGTTTGCACCCTATTTAAAGGACCTTAAGTCCTCTATCCAGCCTCCCTTACCACCTTCACGTCTAGAGACAAACCCTAATTGAGCTAACCTCCCTTTGAGTGTGTGTGAGGCTAAAAGAGTATGTGTTTGTTGCATTTCTTGAAGAGGCTTGAGGATTGAGAAGCTTGGGACAAGAAGGGGCTTGTAGATCCAATGTCTACTTTGTTTTGGCATTCATTTGAAGTTAAAAAGTCTTTACCTTGGTCATTTTCTTGTTAGATCTTTGCACCCAAAAGTTTAGGATCATTTCTAGCTTATTCTTGAAGCATCTATGGCTATGAGCACGTTTTGGGGTGAGGAGTTCAGATCTAGACTCCTCCAAGCCCTCATGGACAGAAAGTTCCCAACTTTAGCAAGCTTTGGCCCTTCTCCATGCCCTAAACCTCTTGTTAAGCTTAGTTATAAAGTTTTAATCCCTTTGAGGCCTTGCATGCGTTTAAAGTTGGCAACTTTACGTGATAACTACACTCTAGGAAGCTAGATCAATTTGGAGCCTTGGTTTCACTTAAAAGCATCTTAATGAGAAAAGGGATGAAGGAAATCGACGAGTTGCATAAGCCAACTCGACGAGTTGGGTAGGCTTTACCCGCCTTCTAGATTTTGAATGAACTCGGCAAGTGAGTGAGATGACTCGGCGAGTCGATGAGTGTTTTCTCGATCTTTTGGACACTGAAGGACTTGACGAGTTACTTAGGTGACTTGGCGAGTTGAATCGAGTTTTCGGTTTCTGAGTTCTGCAGGAACTCGATGAGTCAGTAGATGAACTCGACAAGTTGGGTCAACATGGACTGTTGACCTTGACCGCTGACTTTGACCTTGATCAAGGGTTGACCAATTTTGATTTATGAGGGTATTTTGGTAAATTGGGATTTTAATAGAATCAGATATATGGTGATTACAAGCAGTTGGGTTTGGGAGCTATGTGTTAGGATTCAACTTTAGCTGTTTAGCACTACTTACGAGGTGAGTTGACCTCACTATACTAACAGGGTCGAAGGCACCAATGTCGGCCCTTTTTGGATTGTTATCGTGGTTATCACATGATGATATGCTATGTTAGTGACCTGTTAGGTCGGTAGCCTGGTACATAGGATGATGCTATGTTAGTAACTTGTTAGGTCGGTATCCTGGTATATGGGATAATGCTATGTTAGTGACCTGTTAGGTCGGTATCCTGGTATATAGGATGATACTATGATTAGTGATCTGTTAGATCGGTTTCACTATTGTACATGCTAGCTATCATTTGATATATATATATATATATATATATATATATATATATATATATATATATATATATATATATATATATATATCTTGATTGTTTATGAGGGGTTAGGTTGAGGCGGACCTACTTTGTGCTGAAGGCCAACAGACCTAGGGCAGATCGGATAGACTGCAGACCTATTAGGGCATATCAGTCAGGCCGAAGGCTCGGAGAACGGTCCAGACATGCTGAAGGACGAGGAGGGAGGACCAGACATGCTGAAGGTTCTGAGAGTGGGCCCGACCGACTGAAGGCCCGATAAGGACGGTGTAGTCTTATTGTAGACTCTATATGCATGTTGTTTTCTTGTTTTGATATGGTTATGGTTTGTATTGCGTTGATATTTTAGGGGAACTCACTAAGATTTGGGCTTACAGTTTTGGATTTTGTTTCATTTACTTCGGATGATCGTGGTAAGGCGAAGGCTTGATCGTGCACCTCCTCATAATTTATGATTTTGATTTCTGGGATACTCTCATATGATACTTTTTTGAAAACATTTTGTAATAAATAATGTTTTTTTGAATGTTTGAAAAAGTTTTAAATTTTCATGAATTTTATGGATGTTATAGTTCGAGAGAAAAATTATGGGATAATCAGAGTATACCAAAGTTACATGGAATATGTTTTTAGTGATAAAGCTACAACTGAAAGAAATCTGAGAGAGGCGGTGAGAATGTGGGATTCGTATACGGTCGAAGGATATACATACGGCGGTTTTAGGGTGTATTGATCGAAATAGAGAAAAAGATGAAGTTCCTTTTAT